TGGTTTAAATAATATTGTAAATCAATCTTTCTTCTAACTAAAATACGATTCACCAGTGATTTGACAAAAAGTCTTTCAGAAATCTGGAACAATAGGGAGTGTGTCAGCTTTTTCACCATATTGCAACTTCACCTGCATACAGTCATCAATCAGACACCCCATTGACCGATGATTCTGTTCCCTTGTCCGTATGCAAAATTTTTATAAAATGATTTTGTTTTTGTACTGTAATTACATATTACACAGTTTAATTATACATATTAAACAGTAGTAATTACATATTATACAGTATATTTATAAAGGTTCAAAAAGTTAAAAAGTACCATAACATGACCTTAAAGTAAATTAAGGAAAATAAAAGTATATTGCACACCTCGAATCTGAAGCGCAAAATTTAAAATTGCAGTCACAAATGGAAGTAGCAGAAACAAATGGAAGTTAGAGTATTAATTATATGAAAAAGATATTTTTATACATATTTTCATTGTCCTTTTATTACTATCAAAATATAATACATTTCAGGATTACTAAATCTTCGAAAATATTTGATGCATAGAATAATTTTAATATTCATTAGTTTTATCAGATATACTTGTGATTCAAAAGCTTGTTATATAATTATATTAAATTCCGCCTAACCCAAAAAAAAAAAATGGTATTAAAATAAACGTTACAACCTTGACCAACGTTTTTTTAATAAGTCTACGTTGTGTCAGTTCAAATCAAATATTTGTTAACAATGGACAAGCGTGATCGTATTCCACTGACTTAATTTACCTAATGCGGTGTGACTTGCCAACAACAGGTTTATTTGAACAAAAATATCGATAAAACGTTCCACGCTTATTGGGCTCATCGAATTTTACGCATAACTGTAAAATTACGTTTTTTTTTTCAAAGATAATTATTTTATTATCACATTATCCGATTTCGAAAACGCTTGTGTTTTTTCTTTGCGTGATTCAACATACTATTGTAACATCCCCATTAGTTATTCAATCGTCTGCGGTAAGCGCTTATCCCAAGCGCTTAACGCAAATAATTTAGGAGATATCAAAAAGCACTTGACATCTTTTAAATTTTATATGTAAATGCAGAGCCAATTGCTTATCTAAATATTGGATTCAAAACCTGGCTTCTACAGTTTTTGGTGTTTTAGTTTACACGCATACGTAGATTAAATTAGCCTTTGGGTTGCCAGTTTTATTGGCAGCTCTGTAGCACAATTTCTAAGCATTTGCAATGTTTAAAGCGGAATTGTAAGAAATGTTAGACGACCAAAGAATTCAGTCATTTACGTCGAATGACAGGAAGGATGATGGTTCAACGGAGAATCATAAGTCTTTCGTCAAACTACCAAAAATAACCATACCTGTGTTTTCTGGCCGCTACATTGAATGGATCACTTTAGGGATTTGTTTATTTCGCTTGTTATGTACAACGATCATATTGATAATGTACAAAAACTACATTATTTAAAGAGACAACTTTCCGGAGAAGCCGAACAACTGTTACAACATATTCTAATACCAATGAGAACTATCAGCAATGTCGGACTTTGTTGGAACACAGATATAACAAGAAACAATTTTTATCGAAAAATATTTTAGTAATTTAAGCAATTATTCGGTCTAAAAAGTGTTTCAACTGAATCTGCCAGTGCCATGAAATATTTGTTAGATGATACCACAAATATGTTACAGTGTCTCGATAATATGGGGATTGATACTAAGTAATGGGATATCATTGTAATGTATATAATAAGCATGAAATTGGACAATGAATCTTGGAAACAATGGGGAGGAAATGTTAGTGAGTTGACTAGTCATTCAAATAATTCACCTAATTTTAATCAATTCAGAGAGTTTCTAGAGGAACGTTTGCACTCTTTGGAGTTTTTAAATCCAAAGTGTTCAGCAACTAAGGTTAAATTTAACGGCTATACTAATAATTCTTTATATATAAAAATTACGTGTCACGTTGTTTGTCCGCGATGGACTCTCTAAACTACTGAACTGATTTCCATGACAGTTTGCACACTGTGTGCAGTTTGGTCCAAATTGAGAGATAGAATACTTTTTATCCCGATAAGTGACCTTCAATATTTTTTTATTGCGAATTTAAGGATTTTTTCATAGGAAGGGTCGTCGGAAAGGGCAGAACAACGTCTGCCTGGCCAGCTAGTAATAATATAAAATAAAATGTTGTTCAGTATTTACATATGTCACAATTGTGTGTTCCTTTTGTAAAGGTGATCATCGAATTAGTAGTTGTAAGGTTTTATAAAATTGCGTAGTACTACCAAACGTAATTTTGTCCAACAGAACAGGTTATGTTTTAACTGCCTTGCAAATAGCCATATTTGCAAAAGACAAAATCATTCATTATTACATACGAGTAGTGTTCTTCATTCAACTGCTAAAAAGGTAGCGGTTGATAAGCCCACCATCCTACCATCCGCAAATACTGCGGCTGCACATGTATCACAGGTATGAAATAAAAAAGGAGAAATCACCAGCAAAGGGTAGCTTTGTTTCAAGAGGCATTAGTACTTACTCTTTGCTACTTACAGCGTTAGTAGACGCTAACAATTGCGTGCTCTTCTTGATCCAGCATCTCATCTTTCCTTTGTAAACGAATCTACTGTTCAGTTACTAAAGTTAAAAAATATATCAGTTTCGGTGAATCTGTCTAGATTAAGAGGCGAACCAGCAAGCTTAGTCGCAAAATCAAAGGCTGAAATTACACTACATTCATCTCACAATTCTAATTTTGCGATCAAGGTAGACATTTTGGAAAAATTGACGGGATTATTGCCATTTGCCACCAAGAGAAGTACTAGTACAACCATTGCCTTAAACTATCTCTTACTTACTTACTTATCTTCACGCACAATCCCTGACGGGGTAGCCAGAGAGAACAGATCGCCAAGTGTCACAATCCTTACATACCTCTTTCGTTTCTTTCAGATTCATTATCTTCTTCATACATGCACGTCTAGGTATCCGAGTACTCTTGACCCTCCCCTCTTCGAGCAATTTGCTCACATGGTCTTCGAAAGTTAGTCTCGGTCTACCTTGACATCTTTTAATATTTACTTTCGCGCTATATATTTTCTTGCTTTTGTTCTTCTTTCTTTTTCTTTGTCTTAAACTATCTCGATACCAAATTTCATGTAAATCGGTTCAGCGTTTAAGTGTGAAGAAGTATAGCTACATTTGCTCACGCGGCGATGAGCGACCCCCTTCTCGTCCGCAGTACGCCCGAACCTACCGCACTGCGCGTACCGAACAATTTTATATCGTCCTTACTTTTAAAACATTTGACCAAATTAGGTACGTAGTTTTACAAAGTTTACCTACTTTGAATATCAGAAGCGATTAAATGATTTATTTTGATAAAATCAATTTGTTACTGTAAAATGTGCAATTTTTATAGGATAGGGTGACAAACGAGCACACAGTCCACCTGATGGTAAGTGGTTGCTGTGGCCCATAGACATCTACATCTATCGTCGTTTGCGAATCAAAATGCAGATGCGTTGTCAGTTGTCACCCGTGAGGATTAAGATAGAATGCCTATTTTCCAGTTAAAAGGGTCTCCGGTTCTCTACACCCACCATACGAAACACAGCAGTGTTAAGCTACTGTTTTACGCTGGTATTCCGTGAGAGCGTGGTCCTTCTCCGGTCCAGCCGACCCATTCGTGCTACAACTATACTACTAATATAGTTGCAGCATGGCTCTACCACGTAAGAATTGGAAATAAAGAATCAAATTTTATGTAATAATGGCTTATACATAAAACATAGATATATACTGTCACGGAGTTTTTTTGTAGAACTATTTAGGAGAAACAATTCCACGATACATTTATATTGACAGTTTTGCACCGCACGCTCGTAAATGACAGATTTTTGCCGACTTACTTAACACTTATCATTATATTTTAATCAATTTACACAATATCCTTATTAATTATAGCCTATGTGTTGTTCTGATGTATGAGGTATGTTATTGTAAAGTTTCATTAAAATCTATTCAATAATTTTTGTGTGAAAGTGTGATATATGTAACAAGCATTTATACATCCTCACAAAGTTTCACGTTTATAATATTAGTAGGGTTAGTAGTGTTCTGTGTAGTTAATAGATGTTAATATAATCGTTTACCATTTCATTCAACTTTCATACATTAGCTATTTATAGATGTGAATTTAAATTTCTTTTCGGTTAACATCGAAATTTTACACTAACAAAAACTGCACTTTCCAAGTAAATCTAGCTTGAGACTTAGCAGTAAATAACAAATGACACATAGAGAAAGAACTCTGGTATACGTCAATAATTTAAATAAATTAGAAAATATTCTTAAAACCGCACTCGAAATATTCATACAAATGTTCACATTATCCAAAACATGTTCGTAATCCGTGTCTATCGAAATCGGAGCAATGAGATGAGCGCACCAGCCAGGCAGGTGCTCCTGCAAACGGGTTTGACATTTGTCGTGTACGCGGTCAAACAACTGGTCGCCGACGTCTATAAATCACGCTTTGTCGCCGAAATTACGCGCCGTGGAGCCGAATGGTCTTATAAAACATATTTGAATTACTTATATGTTGCTTTTATTTGAAGACGAACAAATTTTTTTTAATATTTTAAGTTTCATCAAATGTTCAATCACGTTCGATGTCCTCTAAGAACTCATTGGCATTAGTTATTTATTTTAAAAATAAATACAGCTACACGACAAACGGCAAATAATGTCCACCTTGTCGATATCTACACTAAAAAGCTGTATAGTTGACATCACGATCAACTAAATTAGTCATAAAAGTTCATTTTGTGACCTCTCTGACAATGTCGCAAAATTTGGTCAGTTTTTTATTCTAAGTTGAATTAAATGTGACATAACTATTAAAACAAACAACTATTTTATTGCAGAAGTCTAATAGACACCACTAATGTTCGTGGAGCGGCGCGCTCAGATGCGGCGAGGATGCGCGAGGAGGAGCTGGAGGTGGCGCTTAAGGTTGTGATCGTCGGTGATGGCGGCGTTGGCAAGTCCAGTATGATCCAGCGCTACTGCCGCGGCACGTTCACCAGGGACTACAAGAAGACTATAGGCGTCGACTTCCTAGAACGACAGATCGAGTAATGAACATTATTTTATATATTCTAGTTCTTCATTATAAAGCCGCAATAGTCCTGTTGGACATGGGTCTCACACAGTTTCGAGCCTCAGACGTTTTGAAGCTGTAACGCTGATCCCCAACGCTGCTCTTTGTATTTTATCGGAAATATATATCGCAATGGTGTACCATAATCTAATTAGGCTATGGTCTCTCTCATAGTTGCTTCTAATAACACCACGGGTGTGTTAATAGGTAATTCAAATACTAATAAAATGAATCGATATCTTAACCGACTTCAAAAGGGAGGAGGTTCTCATTTTGAGTGTATGTTTTTTTGTATGTATGTTACTCGATATCTTCTCAGATTGTGTACCAATTTTAGTGATTCCTTTTTTATTAAATAGTTATACTTCAAGGATGGTGCTATATAAATTTTGAGAAAAAAATCCTTAAATAACTTATTTCTTAGCAATTTGAAATCGGTTTTTACTTTTTGTTTAAAGTTATAAGTATTTATCGAACATTCGGTACACTATTTTTTTTTTAATTTAAAATTAGCGCTAGCAAATATCTGAGAAATAAAAGTAGTTTTTCATTAGTACATTACGTGCTTGAATATCAAAGACTTGATTAACTTTACAATTAAAGTACATTTAAAGGCATCTGGTTTAAAATCAAACTGCGCGTGAGAATATACTTTCACTAGCGTACAATTTTATAGAATAAACCCGTGACTGTCGGGACAGGGCTTGCATAGAGCGAATACTTTGTTGAATTTTAGGCTTTAAACTTTCGACGGATTTACATTGATTTCAAAATTCTAATACTAATGAAATGTAACTGCCCTGGTCTACAAGTTTCAAATTGTTGATTATTATTATTATATTACGTTTTTTTTTTACTTTTTAAGTACTTATTTGAAAAATCATTCAAACCTGTGTTTCATTAATTCGTGTGGCAACCCTACTGAATCAGTTAACTGATTTGAGTACGGAACTATTTGCTTGATTACACTTGCGTGGTCTACTATTCTCAACTCAATGACTTGCTTTTAGGCCGTAAAAGATACTGTTTTTTCGAAACAGCTATATGAATATGCAAAGTGGAACTTTACTCATATAAAAAAAAAATACTTTTCTTTAAATGTTTGAAGTTACGAAAGCTGTTCTTCTGCTCTATATCATCGACAGTCAGTTCTTAAAATTAGAAGGTGCTTTTTATTAGGAATTGTTTTACTATTTTTAACAATATGAAGACTTAAATTCAAAAGTTATGTTTTCATTCTAATCAGGGGCGTAGCTACCGCCGTATTAGCCGTATCAATGATACGGGGCCCCCGGGCTACAGAGGCCCCGAACGTGTGTAAGCAAAAATTCTAAGGACTTCTATGGGACAGGATGTTGGTTTGAATTGTTTGGCTAGCTTAGTTCCTAGGAGCATTAATTGTAAGTAATAATTTATAATCAATGTATAATTATTCTAATTCAATGCGAGAGCTTTTGTTGCTTTTGTGAATAATCTTTACCCTTCATTTGGGCCGCTCGACAAATTTTGATACAGGGCAAGGCACGCTACTCCACTGATTCTAAGAGAAAAAAAAGTGAAATGATAGAACTTATTGCGTTTTATCTGTTTATTATGACAAAATAATAATCTATAGTCGCAAATATCTTTCGAGAATGTTTAATATTTCTTAGGATTTTTAATAGTAATTGTCGTTTTCACTTTCGCAATATTTCATTCGCAAATAGCTCCATATATTTCAACTTTCTCTTTATGAATTGGAAAAGATATTAAATACTTAAACCATAGCGATACTTTCCCTTCAGCATCAGGTGAACACATAACACTTGTAACCATTTTATGTCCGCATTCTAGTTAAAACACGTTTTTTTACCTAAAAGGAGAGTAATTATTTATCTAACTATTCCGTTTTTAAGTGCACCAGTAACTACTCAACTAGCCGTCCGATTTTGACAAATTTCTCAATTGATTTTTCACAATGCGGTATGTAACCGTTACAGCCTATTAAAGTCCACTACTGAACGTATGTCTCCCTCATAGATTGCCTCATTGGGGAGAGTGGGCAAACGAGCATACGGCTTACCTGATGGTAAATGACTACTAGCCCACGAACAAGTGCAACACCAGGGGAAGGAACCGACCTAAGGATCTCCTAAGTGTGTGCTGTTTGAGGATTAGCAGTGGTCCCAAGCAGCCGCCGGTACGACATGCTCCGCTAAGCGTCGAGTCCGCATACTCCGCGAGGCGTCGAGGTCACCGGCTGTTAGATAGATTCTTGGTACTCAAGCGCGTTCCATGCCCTTGTGTGTCAATCGCGTGCGCGAGTGCTCTCTAACACTTCTCTCAACCCTTTCATTACGAAAGGGGTAGGCAGTGCGCCTAAAGTGTTGCGGTCACCCAACTTCGCTCCCGTCCATACCTCGCGGCACGCATCAATTAGTTTTCAGTCTGCTAGGTAGGAAATTAGACGTAGACACAATCAGCATCAGCCAAAACAGAGTAACTACAGAACAGTTGTAACATGACGGGCAATGGGAACCCCCCCACCACCCGTGTTAGGAAACCCCCGGATCGCCCGGGTATTTTGGATCGGCCTCTCTTAGTTAGGGACCTTCAATATCCGAAGCGATCTACAGTTGTGGCTTCATTCAGCTCGATACCCAGGAAGAAGCCTACGTCGCCGCAAGGACCCGCGTCGAGCGTCGCGCTCACGCCCACCGCACCTGAGCGTGCGAGTTGGAAGGAACCGTTGCCCCAACCTCAGCGGGCGAAGAAATCGGCTAGGCGTCATACCCCCCCGGAGACTGAAGCATCACTCTACGAGAAGCGGCAATGCGTAGGATCACCGAGCCATTCGGTATATGCTACGTCGTCGTCGGCATCGTCGGAAGAAGATGAGAACTACAGACGAAGAATTAAGACTCAGAGATCGCCACCAAAATCACCCAGTCCAAGCAAACCGACCCCCCCCCCCCCCCTCCCCCGTATCCCCGGACCGTAGAAGCACTGTCGACACGGCCGACTACGAGGAAGGAGGTGAAGAATCGTATGGTTGGGGGTCCACGAAGTCAACCACTTACGCGACATTAGCTCCTTTCGCCGGAGGATCCCCCCCCCCCCGCGCCTGCTACCAACCCCTCTGGCCTAACTATGGACGACGGACAGAGGCCATCCACAAGCTACGCCCAACTAGTAGCTGCCCCGGCAGTACCACGACCTAAGTCGCCGGAAGCAACCACCATGCAAACGGACAAGGAGAAGGCACGATATCCGCCGATAGTTGCAGAATGCCTCCCGGATTGGACGAAGCATTTTGAAGTGCTTAACAAGAAGCTAGGCCACCCGCCGAATGCTCGTCCGTTCGGGAAGGGTGTAAGATTCACCCCTCAGAGTCCGGAAGAATTCCGGACTATACAGAAGTACCTTGTTGAATTATCGGAGAAGCTGCCTTCAATGTCGTGGTACTGCTACACCCCAGAGGAAGACAAACCCACCAAAGTGGGCATCCGGGGGTTACCAGTGGGCACGGACGCAACCCAGATAGGAGAGGCCATCAGGGCTAAGGGATTTCCACTAAAGTAAGTCAATGTCCTAGGGGTAGAGACGAGGAGGCGAGATGTGCCAACTGTTTTCAAAACCACACAGCGAACGATCGCCGCTGCCCGGTCCTGAGGAGGATCGCAAGGAAGCAAGGGATCACCCTACCGGGGCTACAACCGGAAGCCCCTATAGGGGTCCCGCAGAGTCGCCCCCGAACCGTAGAGATACAAGAAGACGGGTGGGCAACAATTAGAGGGAGGGGGAGGCAACCCCACACCCCCCACTCCCCGCACCACAACCATAGGCAGAGACATACGAAGCCCCACCGGGGCGAATCTGCAGCCACCCGCCAACGACGCTACGGAGAGACAGCCATCAAAGAAGAGGAAGCGGGTGCGCAGCAAGAAGAAGAAGGAGCAATCTCCTCAGGCTGCGGCAGCAACCTCTACCCCTACCCCAGCGGTAACGATGGCCCAGGCGCAGGTTACAGAACAGATGACCAGCAAGGGTAGAGCTCCAGGAAGGGCTCTATCTGAAAATAGAGCCCGCTCTACACATAGAGCACGCTCTACCCAAGGAAGAGCGGAAGCACCGATGCCACACCCGAGGCCAGTACTAACATCGACGCAAACGAGAAGACCAACAGCTGCCCCAGATATGACAGATGCCATCCAGAGATTGGTTGGCATCGCAATAGAAGTGGGCAGCCAAGTCCTGGCGGACATTAGAGCCGGGACGGATCCGATTACCGCCATCATGAAGGCACTGGCGCAACTACTGGCTCGGCACTACGGTGGTGTCGTGTAATCCAGATAACCTGTGCCTCCTATACTGGTACCCGGACGGAATCCAGCAAAAGCTACATGAACTCCGCACTATCGCCCAACAGCAGGACATACACGTAATACTGTTGGGCGAAACGAAACTAAGACCTGCGACGCGCATAAAGCTGCCGAACTACTTTATATATAGGAGGGACGAGGTCAACGCTCAAGGAGCCGCCTACAGAGGCACGGTGGCTCTGGTTAGAAGAGACATCGTCCACCTAGACCTGGAACCACCTCAGTACCAAACTATGCGCTCAATCGGCATAAAAATGGAGGCGACGGGCGAGGAACTAAGGATCTACGCAGCATACCGTCCGCCAGGGACTCCATTTTGCTCCTCAGATATCCGGACAATAATGGAAGGTGAAAAACCTACCATTATAGCAGGGGACCTAAACGCGAAACACCCAGCATGGTGATCTAGAATGATCACGACGCCGGGTCGTGCACTCTATGACGATGCGGAGTTGCGGAGATTAACAACTATGACGTATTAGGTCCCGAAGACCTGACGCACATTCCAGCCGATCACCGGAGGAGTCCGGATGTGCTGGACATCGTGCTCACTAGGAACATCAACTGCCCGATAGTGGTAGAGGTGCTGTATAATGTGAACACACAGCACCTC